GCGACGCCAGTAAGCTCGGTGTTGGTGCTGTGCTGTCTCAGAAAAATTACGAAGGAATTGAGGTGCCGACTTTTCCCAAAAATTAAATAACGCCCAAAGTAACTATAGCGTTACTGAGTTTGAGTGCCTTGCGGCAATACCTAGTTAAAAAAAATTTAGGGCATATGTGGAAGGGCAGGAATTCACCATTGTCACAGACCATGCCAGCTTGCAATGGCTGATGAGGCAGACCGACGCTAGAGGGATATAAATTCCAAATAGAGCACAGAAAGGGTTCCTTAAACATTGTAGCAGACGATTATAATAGTTTTATTTCCAGCTACTTTCGTTATATCTCCCTCACTTCCGGTTTTTAAATTTTTTATTATTATTTCCGTGACCCATAGTCACCCTGTGTTGCACATTCAACACCGCTGCATCAAGGTTCCTCTCAGACATCTCCGTGATCATATGATACTGTATATCGAACTATCGATAAAACGATGATATTCTATTTTGAGTGAGGAGCTATTTCCGCAAATTTCAAGCTTTTGGAACCTTGGAGCTGACAACACCCCGAGATCTCATTTATGTGAAAAAATAGTTTTATCCCGTGAGGTGCGGTGTAAGGAAACGTATGAAGATATAACAGCGAGTTGAGGGAAAATCTTTTTAAATCATCTGCATAATTGGTAAGAACCTTAATTTAATGCTCTATGTGCAGAAATAAAAAGAATACCAAGTGTGAGACAAAACTGTAAGCATGCTCGATTTTCTTTAGGCACTGTGATTGCGATAAAAAGGAAGCTGGATTTTGTACCCTGAGTCAGCCTTACTTACGGCCGGTTTCTTACAGCCAACCTACATCCGTGGCGAATGGGATCCATAACCCCGGCAGCCTGACAAACATCTCCCATAGTTTGTATCGACGTTTTAATTTGTACAGGCACACTTACATACATATGTACGAAACCATTATTTAAGGTGAAACCATATGTATGTATATACATTTGATCTTGGCTTAATGAATACATAAAAGCCAGAGTTTAAACGGAAATGTAATCTGCTCCGAAGTGAAATACATTTGATTGGGAGCTCGATAGCTTGGAACTCCAGTTTTTTGGCTTTCGTGTTATACTTCTCCAGCCATCGTGGCTTACCTTAATAAAGTACAAAAACAAAATAAAAGAAACCAAAATATGAATCTACAATGAAAATAGTTTAATTTAATTAAAATGCGAATATTTTCATACTTACCTGATAGATACTTACCTCTACGAGTAATACTTACCTTAAGTCCTCCTTAGAAAATTAGCACAGATGAAAAGTTTCTTACTTCAATTTTATCACATGTTCTTAGCAACATAAATTCAACTTACCGTTTTTTCTACTTACCTTTTATACCTACGTTTGTTTTTTTTGCATTCTTGAAAGGTGTACGTGTAGATAACACTAAGTTAATCATTTAAGTAGATCATAATTAAGAGCACCACTTGGTGAATCCACTTGGTTAGGCCGTGGTTATGCCACCAATTTTAATTGGCAATCAAAAGAGAAAAATTTCGGTGATTGGTGAGAAGTGGTTACGCTCTGTTTGCTGATTGGCGAGCACAGGGTTGCTTCTTAAGAAATGCTTTTTTCCATTTCATACAATTTCGCACACAATGGCAGCACTGAATTAAACATGCAACTAAAAATGCATAAAAATTGAAGTCGGAAAATGAAAAATGGAAGAACAACTTAATATTTTTTCTTTCTTTAATATCTAATTTTTATAATAATATTTGTTTTAATATCTATTTTATAATAATAATAAAAAATATTTTTTACTATTCTAATATTTAATACTAATACTTTTTCGCAAAATAGCGTAGTGCCACCCTGAAAAATTGGCGTGCTGGCTGTTCGATTTCGAAAATTCTCTCACTCCGTGCTGTGCACAACAACAATTGCACGGTGTTTGCCAATCGAAATTGGTGGCGTAACCACGGCCTTACCTAACCTATCTCGAGAATAAGATCACCTTTTCTATTTGCACATATATGTAAATATGCATGCTCAAATGCACTCTCTCAACCACCTGTAGTACATAGTTTCTAATAATGAAGTTTAAGAGAGTGCAATTCTCCAAATGTTTATATTTTTTCTTCTTTTACTACTTTTGGTTATTTTTTTGGCAGCACATATTCTAACTCCCATTTATTGGGTTACTTTCGCTCTCGGTAAAGCTACAGTATCGGACGAAATAATGGCAATTTTTCTTTTTAAAAATATTTGAGGCTAAAATTTTTATGATTTTTTGTTGAAGTTGTATTTTTTTAATTACATTAATTAAGTATCTACCTACATATTCATGTAAATACGCAACGAAATTAAAATTATAAACCAAAGGCATTACAACCCGGCTGGAAAATAATCTAGGAAAGTCTGTCATTTACCTTGGCCCTGGCTAGATATGCCATTATATCGAAAAATCCGTGATGGGCCTGGGCAGGCGCAAATATGGTAAATATTGACTCGATAAGTTTTATTTTGGTGTTACCTGGGCCCTGAGTCAGATCGCCTATTTACTGGCATTATATCATGCAATCTAGAAAGTAC